CTTGGTTACTTTTTCTCTCATTGCTGGGACAAAATACCTGATGCCCAAAATTAGGGAAGGAAAGGTTTATTTCACTTACAGTTTGTGGAGGTTTCAGTCCATACTTGGCAAGTTACAAGGCAGAGTGGCACATGGCAGAGGGCTACAGCTCATGGCGGCAGAACACAGCAAAGCAACAAAAACTAAAAGGGAAGAATCGAGGCAAGCAGCCACTTCTTCTCCCTTACATATGCAAACTATCCACCCCAGGGCGGGTGTAGCTCTCACACCCATAATCAATCAAACTCTAAAAGCCTGCCCTATGACTGCATGAGGCTTTGGGGGGACACGCAGACACAAACCATAACATGGCTTAATCCAAAGAAAAAATTTAAAACCTTGATCATTACTGTCTACGGATTCGGTTTTGTTTGCTAACTTTTTTTGGTTACCATTAAGATTTGCTCACTTGTTTAAATTTATCCCCAAGTTGTCCTAACAGTTCCTGATTTATGGTTTTCTAAAGACCTGCAGTGCTGTTTGGATGTGCCAGCTATTAGCCTTAATCATTTTAAAGTAGCTCCAGCATGGCTCCACATGCTCCACAAAGTTGCTAGAGAAGACTTTTCCCTCACTCATATAGAACCAGCTTAGCACTTCCTTTTCTCTATATAGCTTTTTCTCCCTATATATAGATCAAACAGTTTCTAAAAGTATCTCTAATTCCTGGTCTTCAAAGTCTGCTAGAGCTGCTCTGAAAATTGTTTCCAGAAATAATTAAGTTTCTATTCAGCCTACTAATTTAAGTCAGCCATCCCCAAATGTTGTTTGCTCTAAAATGACATCCTTTTGCTTTACTATAACTACAACTTTGGTTCAGGACGTTTTCAACCATCATTGCCATTCGCAATGGCCCTGTGTAGGCACTAAACATTTCACCTGGCAGGTAGGAAGAAGCCTCCTGCTTGTCACTGGCTTTTAAAATAAATCACATCATCTTTGGGGATAAATTTTGGGTTTCAGTGACAAAATTGTCTTTCGTTCTAGTGGCCTGCAGGATGGGATCAAGGCATACTATTCCTTTTAAAATTGATATGGCTGAACAAAATAGAAAAATGGTATTTAATGACTTGAGTATAAATGGAAAGAGCCTTCATGAACAATATTGGGCCTAAGTCCTGGGCACCAGCAGTCGGAAGAGGCTGAGTGTGAAAATGTGATGCAATTGTCCTACTGCTCGCTGGCTCTGATCGACTCCTCCAGATCGTTCCGATTTCCTGAACCCTCTCAAGCTCTGGCTCAGCTTGCCTACCACTCCTTCCTGTGATGGGTTGCAGGAAAGGGAAGTATCTTGCTAGCAGCTTTCCTCTTTGAAGAGCTGCTTTCCTCTTTGAAGAACTTCTACCTTGAGGATCATTTTTATATAGAAATTGTTCACGGAGTCTTCTTGAATTTTAAGTTTGAAACTGACCCTGAATCTTTTCAGAGTAAAGATTTGGAAGTTTTTTGGTAGATAACCTTTTCTTCCATAAAAGTTAAAGAAAAAAAGGAGAAATAACAGAAATCAGATCGAGGTAGTTCTTTTTAGCTAAAATTAGTATAAAAACTTCTGGAAGTTTGGAGACTCTTAGTAAATAGTGTTTGAAGTGTGTTGGCCAAAATGTTAAATCAGTGTTCAATGTTTTTGTGAATTATGGTCAAGAGAACTATGTGTTATAAACTCTGTGAGGTCAGAGACTAGGTCTGTCACATAATAATACACTGTCAGCAAAGTTCAGTGACTGGCATATAGTAAGTTCTCAATAAGTACCTGATGACTTACTGGGTAAATGAATGACAAAATATATGCCTTCTAGTTCTGCACATATTTGGCTTTTATTGGTAAATGTAAAAGACAGTTTTAGATTTTTTACTATTACTTGAAATTCCAGGATTAGAAATTCCTTCTCCATTTTAAACGTTAACGTCTCCTTTTTGTACCTATTGGAACATAAATACTGCTGAGTGGGTGATGTATGAAGCCAGCAGTTCCCTGAGGTCCTAGTGTGAGTGTCAGATCAGATGCCAGAAGACATTCACGAAAAGGGAGGGGTGGGAGATGGAGGGAAAATGTCGCCGAAAGTGAGACCAGAACCCAGGAGACAAAATGATTGGCCCATGCATTTTTCCTGGGCTTGGACTTGTAAGATGAATCTTCCCAGCTGCTCAAATCATTCCTGGGAGCACCTGCAGTGTCTGGAAAGCAGAAAAAATTAGGGAAAGAGGTGATAGGTAGTGGGAGAATTGACATTTTAAAATTCTTACCAAGTTTTCTATTAATAAAATGTATTTATTACTTAAGGAACATTTTTCCCAGTAGGCAAATTATAACTAACAACATGCAATTTTAAGCTAACATTCTCTTTGCTAAGGGCCTCGGTCTTAACAGGTATTATTAAAGGTAATAAGTACTTGAGAAGTAAGAGAGCAAATCTTTTATTGGAATACTTATAGAAAGCCTGGTCAAGGTAGTTGAGAATTATGTCAAGTGCCTTATATTTCGGTTTTGGGGGAAGAACATGATCTGATGATCGTATGTGCTTGGCAATGATGAATCTGTTGAATACAGTGGGAAAAGTCTCACAAATAACTATGCCCTTGAAGGTAATGACAATGAGTTGAAAGGAAGTGGACATTACAACTAGGTCTTGAAAGAAACACTAGGTAACATGGTACCAGAAAAGGAGAAAGCCCACATATTTTCTGCTCAGTATAGGGGACAAGACAGGGGAAAGCTGGGAAGTAGGACCAGGCGGTCACCCATCGTGTACTCCATTGCAGTGCTCTGAGAGTATCCTAGGCAAACACCAGCTGTAGAAGGTTCTGGAAGGTTCCTGAGGTAATTACTGACTGTTTTCTCTGGGCCTGCACCTCTAGGATGTGTGACATTGGACGAGGAGCAGACACGGTATGCTGGTCAGATCTGCCATGTCAAACACTTGTAGCTTAAAGAATATATGACCATTGTCATGGTCATTTATTGTGGAAACAGTTTATTGATTTTAAAAATAAATGCTGTGGAAGATGCAGCTCAGTGCTAGAGCACTTGCTTAGCATGTGCAAGGTCGTGGGTTCAATACTCAGTTTTGAAAATAAACAATTAGACAAAATAAAAATAAAAAGTAAAACTGGGTGGTGGTGTATACCTGTAGTCCTAGCTACTGGGGAATCTAAAGCAGGAAAACTGTAAACTTGAAGCTATCCTGAGTAACACAGGCAACCACACCGAAAAGCACCCCAAATAAACATGTAAAACCCGCAAACAAACAGAAAACAGCTAACTATTTAAATTAGGCTCCCATTTAGGCCCAAGGGGCATACATCGTTTTTGGCAACACAATTTAAGTTCACACTATTACTATACTGATAGAATTCCTCTCTTCGTACCCTGAATGTGTCCTATGCATTTTATTCCAGGGCTGGGTACACAGGTATGAGCCTGGTCAACAAGTCTTGTAATCTTGGAGCTTATATTTTAGTGGAGGAGATGCATGGTAAATAATAACAAGGCTATAGGGGTGACATTTGAAAAATGGTTTCTATCCTGGAGGTGCTCTCAGTAGCTGGACAGACTAATATATCAGACTAATGCATCACTGTATTTGTTTCAGTGAAGTGTAGAAATACAGCTTCATCAAGTTTAGAGGAACTTTCGGATCTCTACATGATATCAGGTAGAGAATGTGAGAGTATGGAGCCAGTTTTTACTACAGCTAATCTTTCCTGTTTTTCAGGACTTTGCATCAGTCAATCCTCACTAGAGAAACAGATTTAATATAAGATGTATAGGTATAGATGTTTTTACAAAGTAAACTCACACGCAGGCAGGTTGGAAGAGGGCCAAAAGGGCCATCTGCAGGGATTTAGTCAAACGTCGAAGACCTGGAGCTCACTGTAAAGTCCTGTGAAAGTCCGTATCAGGAAGCGGAAAGTCTGCACCGGAAGGACTTTCAAGGCAATGGTGAAGACTGGGCTCTTCTGGAAAAATAATAGACACGAGACTTCTTTCCCACTTTATTTCATTCAGGCTGTGAACCTATTGCTGGTGTCATTCACACCCAGGGAGGGTCTTCCCTTTTCAGTAAAGCTATCATTCAGTCATACCCAGAGCTATACTAAGCCAATCATCTGGGCATTTCTTACTCAAGCTGACAAAACTGTTAACTATCACAGACACCACATCTCAAAGTGGTCTCTGAGAACCCAATGTGTAGCTGCCTCCCCCGCTTCCCAGTTATTCCCTATCTCCTTGGCTTGTTGCAAGGTGTTTACAAACAAGAAGGTGGAAGAAAAGTATATAAATAAATGTGAAAAGAAGAGAGGGTATGCAATGCTGTGGACAATTACAAACAGTGTTACGTTGGATTAGTGGAAAAAAGAGGTTACCGATATTTTTTTATTTCATATTTTTAAAGAATTCTGTCCTTGGAGAAAATTAGACCATATATATATCTTGGAATCACTGAGCAAGAAAATAAAGGTCCTGGAATGGTAACAAGATTTATGAACACAAGAACAAGGTCTTACAGAGGCGATTGAAATATGTGACAAGCATTAGCATTTCAGAGTAGCGATGAGCTACTTGTATAGATTGATGTGGCTAAAAATTAGACAAGGCATATTAAAAGCTGAGATCATTCAGGCTTAGGAGCAGCTGAATATGAGCAATTATGAAGCAGTTAAGCCATTAAATAAAACTGAAGATCTTGTGAACCACTAGAGCAAAGAGGCACCTCTGTGTGACCGAGAGCTTTATCACCAATGCTCTCCTTTCAGAAACACAAACATTAGGAAATGTTGGTGCCAAAGGTGACGGAGTGGCTCTTTAAAGGCAGACTGATGCCTGCGTTGTTCAGGACAGCCATTGCACACAAAGACAGCTGTCTCTAACGGGGGATGCCGATGGTGTGAGCGCAGTACGGGGGTAAAGCGGGGAGGACAGCCTTTGGTGTGGGGCTGACGTGGATTCCGGACATTGCGGAGCCTGTGGAAAACGGCCCACCTGGCTTCTGCCTGCTCATCTGACTGAACACTCAGACTGGCTGCCTGCATCTGCCCATGAATGATTGCAAACAGGGGCAATGTTGTTTGTGGAAAAAAAAAATGTTTATTCTACTCCCATTCTGCTTGGGTGTTAGACACGTTAGCATGACAAGGTTTCACAAATGTGCTATATCAGGGGATATAATCCTAAAAACATCTGCTCTGTCCCCCAGTCACTGTGACTTGGCCACACCATTTGATAGTAAATAAGGTTATTCCGTGAAGAAAAGCTGAGCCAGTTTCAATGTGGGTCTGGCCTACAGAGTAAGGCTGTGTCTATATGCAGAATGCATTTTGAACGGTTTAATTGGTTGTCAATAGAAACAGCTAATATTTATTAAGAATCTGCCATGTGCCAGGCATGGGGGAGGAACATTTACACGTTTATTCGGAGGAAGCAAGGTGTCAGAGTAGAAAGGGTGAGACAATTAGGGCTCTGGTCTTGGCTTCGTCTCTAAGTAGCAGTGGGGGAACACATCACGTCATTGAAAGCACTCAATAAATGTAAGGAAGGAAAGCAAATGTATTATACCTGGGTTATTTTACTGTTTAAAAGTGCATTTGTGGGGCTGGGGATTTAGCTCAGCGGCACAGCGCCTGTCTGGCAAGCACGAGGTCATGAGTTCAATTCCTGGTACCTGAAACAAACAAACAAAAAAACCCAAAAACAACAACAAAAAAGTGCATTTATATGTGTGTTTGCTTGCAAGCTTGTATGTGTGTCCGGAAAAGATTATCTTTCATATTCCTTCCAACTCTACAGTTCTATGGGCTATGTATGTGTATAGCTTTATTTATATTTTTGATCCTTCTGTTATTTCTTTGGTAAGATGCTTACCATTTGCTGAATCGTAATTTCTTTCTTCCATATTCAAGTCAGTCATAAAATTCCTTTTTGACTCTTCAAAATATGTCTCAAGTGTCTTCCTTTCAACCAATTGTTTAGTGTTAGGAAAGCCAGCGGTTGTGAGCATAGCATATAGGGTTGAATAGATTTGGGTTCATTACCATCAGTAGCTGTGTGATCTTGTGATCTTTATTTTGCTATTAAAACGTCTGAATTCTGCTTCCTTACCTATGAAAGGGAATATAGCTGTTTCTCAGGGATATTGTGACTATTGCATGAAAAATGCATACAAAATACTTCGCAAAATTCAGTATTGGCTCTTTTACTGATGTATTAGTAGCAATAGTTGTTGTTAGTAACTTTACCACCATCACTAACTACTGTGATACTCTGCCTTCCTCCTTCATTGGCTTAGGTTTCCAGGGCAGCCTTTTTGCACATACTCCTAACTCTATTCTCTGAGACTCTATTGTAATAACTAACTATACCCTAACTCTATTCTCTGAGACTCTATGCAATAACTAACTATACTACATGATAGATTCCCAATTTCGCATTGGAGAATTTCTCTTGCTATATATTCAGGCTCACTATTTTTGCCTTTCGTAGTGTCTAATCTGCTATTTATTTCACTCCATGTGTTTTTCATCTTGGATATTATATTTTTCATTGATAGAATTTAAATTGGTGGTGGGTTTTTGGTACTATCATTGTTTTTCTCTTTGACTATCTTATGCTTTTCTCTACCTAGGTAGTTCTTACCAAGGGGTGATTTTGCTCTGCAGGAGACACTGGGTAAGGTAGAGAGATAGTTTTGCTTGTCACAAGCATGGGAAAGATGCTACTAATCTAATGGGTTAGAAGTCAAGGATGCTACCAAGCATTCTATAATACATGGGACGGTTTCCACAACAAAGACTCTGGGCCAAAATATCAGTAGCCCCAAGGTTAAGACACCTGGCTTTACCATTTAAACCATAGAATACAGTCCTAGTAAATGTTTTAATTGTCTGTGTCCACTTATTCTATCATCCATCTAATTTCTATTAATTGGTTTTTCTCTTTGTTATGCTTCTTTGTATCTTGGTACTTACTTTTTTTTTTTGCTGGATACCAATTACTGTGAATTTTGTCTTGTTGCATGCTGGATATTTTTGTTTTCTTTTAAATAGACTTGAGAGCTGTTCCAGATACTTTTAAGTTACGTGGAGACAGTGTGGTCCTGTAGGCTTGTTTTAAAACTTGTTAGGAGCAACTTGAAAAACTTCTAGCGTAGGAGTCACTTTCCTCACTGTTGAGGCAATTGCCTGATGCATGCACTGCCTTACTGCCCTGTGCACGGTGGGATCTCCCACGGTGGCGAGGGGAAGAAGGGGCATTTCCAGCTCTGTGCGCGCTCTCCAGATAGCCCCTTTCAGCAGCTCTCACTCGGTGTTAAGAAGCTTCTTGCACGTGTGTGCCACTCGGCACAGAGAGGAGGTCGCAGAGGCGCCTTCCGAGACCTGTAGGCAGTGTCTGCACAGCTCTCTCCTGTCTGGCCCTGTGTGTTCAGAGTTCCAGTGACTGCTGCTTCCTTCTCTGAATATTCAACTGCATCACCTCAACTCAGGGAGACGTTTATGCTGCTTGGGTTTGCCCCCCTTGGAACTACGTGGAAATGCTCCAGGCATAGGTGGCGGGGTCTGAATGGAACTCACCTACTTTGTGTCCCTTCATTCAGAGAATTACCACCCGCGCTCACTTTTATCTAGTATCTGATATAGTTCATATGTTCAGTCTATTTTGAAAGTTGTTCCAGGCAGAAATATAGATCTGGACCCAGAAACACCTTCACAGTTCATGGTAGATTTTAAAGGTTGGTACCTAGAAAGTGCTGTGTATTCAAAACACATCTTGCGGTTTAGGCGTTAGCACTGATGCTGGTTTCGCTCCGAAGATACAAGATGCAGCCAGAAGCCCAGCATCAGTGCTAACGCCTAAACCGCAAGATGTGCACTTACCAGGCACCTCTGAACCTTTCCGTGTTGATCTGCTGCTGCTCCTCTTCTGCTTGGAATTATTCACTTGAGGATCTCTGCTTCATTACTTCAGTTCTTTCATTTTTAAGCCTTTTACCTTCCTGGATTCCATTACTTCTTCAATTACTTTGGAACATTTTCTGTTTGTTTGCTTGTTCTTTGCTCTTTTCTACAGTCGGGTTCCAAAGTTTATGGATGGCTCAATAATTCATCCATCCATTTGTTGGTTACAATGTAATTTAACGGCCTGTTTATATTGCTGTATTTATTAGCTTTGAAATTCCTAACAGAGGTATCCATTTTCTGCCCTCAGGACATGCTCACGTTTTAATTGCCACTTATGTATTAAAGGATATTTCTTTACATGTTTCTAGTAACTTTTCCCCCCTCAAATTCTTTCATTAAGGTAAGTTTATTGAAAAGGAAAGGGGCAGGGAACATAATGAGAACTGGGAATAAAAGCAAATAAAATGCTACGGAGTCCCAAGCTGCAGTGCTTGCCAGCTGTCCTGTTACTATTTTTCTTGGTGGCCTGATGTTTTCAGATTTCCCCAAGCTAGAAAAATATTAGCTTCTCACGGCCTGTGGTCACCAGCCTGAAAATTATAAGTCCTGATGCTGTTACCGTGTAGCTCGGGTGAGCGTGATCTGGTTGGGGGTTTATTATGCTCCGCCATATAGCACTACGCTTGACATTAAACCCTAGGTTTAGATGCTGTGGCCCATGAGATTGGAGATGGGAAACGTGGAGTCTCTCATCTCTGGGTCTCCAATTCAGAGCCAATCAAGAAGTCACTGGGTTTAATGACCTCCAGTTAGAAGCTCCTGTGAAATAATCTGTTGCTGTCAATCTTACTTTTAATGAACAAGAATCCCTATAATTCTGTGCCACATGGTAGCCTTTGTTCCCTAAGGTTGATAAATGGACTGTGAATGGGGTGGTTTCTGGAAACAATTTATACGTAATTTCTCCCTCCCTCCGAAGAGCTTAGGCAATTTGATAGGATAAATTGTACACAGAAGTGTAACCAAACTTTACTGCGGATCCACATATGTTATTTGGAGTTGTT